CTTTCTTATGATTGCATCATCCATGACTTGTAGGAATAACATGATGCAATTCATATCATGTATGATGCAATACCAGCTTCAGATTGCATCATTCATTGTTTTGCCTAAAAAGCAAGTACTGTCCAAACCCAGTCATAGATTTATTCATAGATCCAGTCAAAGATGTATTTAGTCATTTCTGGTTTAAATTGAGATCCCTTCCCTTTATTTCAGAAGCATTTTGGCTGTAGAGCAGTGCTATATAAATGGGTGTAAATTCTGTAGGAAAACTGCGCCCAGATTTTATGGCTTAGTGCGTGGCTTATTCTCAGCACCTTTTCCCCCTCCAAATCCTCTGTGAATTTGTTTTGTTTTTTACAAGCCCAGTGAATGCAGAAGTGCCAAGCGCACGCTTGTCAAATGAGCTCCAGCGTCTCTTGAATGGAGATGCTGCTGGCATGCTGGTCTTTGCACTAAATTGTGCATTCAGGCAGCATGGTGCTGCACATTGCTGGTGAAGGAGCAAGCACGCATTGTGAGTGCATGCCTACATCTCAGCTAGGCTCAGCAAAGTGCCGGATACACTGACATCTCGGTATTCAACATTTTGGCTCCTTTTCCATTTCAGCCCACAACTGGATTCTTACTGTCCAAACTGTTGTCAGTAGGCTGGGTCCAGCAAAGCCAAAGCTAAGAAAAATTGAGCTGTAGTCTGTCCTGCATGATCAACAAAGTCACCAGCTAAGTTCTGCTTCCAGAATCTCTGCTCTCACTGATTTTGGAAGCAGAAAAGGTATGTTTGATTTTCAGAGGCCAGTTTCAGCTCTCAGCTAAACAAACCTTGCTTTGCTGAAACTCAGCACATTCAATTGTAGAAACTAGCAATACACATGGAACACAAACATGTCTTTTTTACAGTCATTTTCCTGACCCTAATCAGATCATTTGGCCTAGTGGATAGGGCCTAGCCTGGCAGGCCTGAGAGACTAGCTGCTGAGCGACTGTGAGAACATCTCTTTTCTTTACCACCTTTTGTCTATCTAGACCAGAGGTGGGCAAACTACAGCCTGCAGGTCACATCCGGCCCGCGGGACCATCCTGCCTGGCCCTTGAGCTCTCGGCCGGGGATGCTAGCCCCCGGCCCCTCCCCTGTTGTCACCCCTCCCCAGCAGCCTCAGCTCGCCAAGCCACCAGTGCTCTGGGTGGCGGGGCTGCGAGCTCCTGCCGGGCAGCGCGGCAGCGGGGCTGCGAGCTCCTGCTGCTCTGAGCAGGGAGGGGGTTGGATAAGGGGCAGGGAGTCCCGGGGGGCAGTCAGGGAGCAGAGTCAGGGCAGTCAGGGGACAGGGAGCGGGGGGGGGTTGGATAAGGGGTGCGGTCCCGGTGCGGCGGTTAGGGGTAGGAGGTCCTGGGAGGGGGTGGTCAGGGGACAAGGAGCAGGGGGGTTGGATGGGTCGGAGGTTCTGAGGGGGGCAGTCGCGGG